GGTTAAAACTTTGGTTCAAAAAAAGGTATGCTATACAAAATGTACCAAGAGATAAACATACATGTATATATATGTTTATCATGAAACTTATTATTCAAACTAAGTTTTAGTAGTTCTTAACATAAAAAAAAAAAGGCATGGCCAGAAATTCTTTTCACTTTTGTACGCGGCACCGCTGACCGAAACGCAGGCTCTAGAGACGACCAGGACATTGCTCGCACATTGCCAAATCTCCTCGCTAAATCGCACATGCTGCGATTAATTGTCGAGGAGCCATATTTCGAAACGCGAAGGAATTGAGGTGAGCAAACAAATAGGAATTTTTTCATAAAGTAGCAGTCATTTGTGTTAATTGCTAATTGTCAAAAATAGATTTGCTTTCTGACCTCAAAGGCCTCTTGGATTCCATAATCGTAAAAGTTTTTATTGTGATGCAAAATGTCACTTGTCCACAGATCAGTGCCTAAATCATAAAACATAAACATAATCATAAACATGGGAACGCTTTGGAATGTGCACATCCATTTGTAGGCGAGAATTCCAACGCACCATAGTCGCTTCCTTCTCTTGCACAAATGTTTCTTCGTTTAGACGAACGCGACTCTGTTGGGTTGGTAACGCTGCTAGTTCAGCAGACTATAGGGTTTTCCTTTTCGGCCGGCGACCGGCGATTTTCGCCCCCTGCGAACGGCTCCGTATAAGAAACGGAAATCGATGAAAAGTAGATATTTCAGCAAATAACGAAGAAGAATTTTTACGCGTGTACTGGTACGTGACATTCATTACAAGTTTGCGCGGTCAAGTCACGCATCACTGGCATCCCTTCAAGCTTCAAGGTACATAAATTATTCTGATACAATGAATATATGAAGTTCATATATTTTGAACTGCGGTATTAGATACGTATGATGCACGATCCTCGCAGTAGAGAGCGCTATTTATGCAATAGCGAAAATCAGACCTGAAAAAAATCAGGCCTGTACGGGATTCGAACCACTGACCTCTGCGTTACTAGTGCAGCGCTCTACCAGTTCCCGGCGCCATATTGAATGTGTAACCGCGCAAACATGATAGCGAGGTTAGTGTTGAGTCGCGTTGCGAGTTCTAGTGAGAGCTTAGTGAAATGTGGTTTTGCACTGTCCTTTTCATCGAGATATTTCGACAATGAACGATACTTTCCCTACGCAGGATATTCCTCCTTCTTCTTCGAAAGGAAGAGGAAGACACTGTGCCGCTTTTTGGTTGTGCTAATAGCTATTATGACACAGCAGGCAATTCAACAGGTCTGCATTTCCTCTAGTTTCCGAATGACTTCCAGCAGGAGTCAGATGGTGCAATCTCCTGAATCGCCAGCATGGAAAGGACGGATTCTTCATCACAAAATCAATTTTTTTTGTGCTCAGAACATTTCAAAAAAGAAGACATGCGAAAAAACGTGGGCAGGTCGCTGGAAATTGGTGAAAGGTTTATAATGTTTGTACGGTTGTTTTGTTGCTTGGATACCGAAAGAAAATGCCTGCTTTGATTTTCGGTATTGAAGTGTTTATGCTGGGATTTTTGTTTTGGGGGCCCCTA